AGGAGATTGGTTCCCACTGCATGAGAGCCTTCGATGCTGTTGGGGACATCATGATAGCCACTCCATAACTCAGTGTGCTCGTGGTTGTAGTCTGAGTGAGAATATCGGAGTAGATTATTGACTGTGCAGTTGACAGTTTGGAGAGTCTACTCCCACTCCATCTGCTTTCGCAAATCCCAAGCACTTCGATGTGATACCTTCTCATCTCCTTTGCAATCTGGGCTGCCTTGCTGGGTTCAAACATCGTACGGACATTCCATCTCCCCACGTTTACTTTCGCTTTCATCGAGGGAGAGAAGACACATCGGCCTATTGGCTTCATGAAGGCTTTCACCAACCGACGTCATTTCGCCTCTCCGATTCCAGCGAGGAATAATATCGTTTTGATTTTTAATATTTTGTTTGTGCTTTGAAGTTTCTTTAGCGGTTGGATTTGTTTTCCGGAGTAGGGTTGCTAACCCTATGCCCAACCTTCCCTCTTTACCTGGCTTAGGACCGGCTAGTAACTAGTGAACTATTTAACCAGGCGAGGTTCAATCAAATAATTGCACATCACTAATTTACAAGGCAGTCGGGTAAAACCCTTGATGAATGAAATAAAATTAAAGTCTGATTAGCAGCAGGGTCTCGTGACTCAATGGGTAGAGCACCGAGCTGGTAACCTGGAGGTCATTGGTTCTACTCCATCCACGGGACAGAGTTTCATTTCATTCGTAATCACTCCATATAAATACTCATAACTCATGTGGTGTATTGTTTACTATCAAAGTGATAACACATGCACTGAACCTAAAATATTTCCATTTGCATAATGACAGGGTTTCAACCTCGCGATGATACATGGAGTTATATGTTGTCTGTTTGATGACTGTAGGTAGAAGTTATTTTTGAAGGTTATTAAAAGCAAGATCATGTCAGTGTATGGTAGTGTTTATCACTTATATGCTTTGCTAGACAGATATTTTAATGGTTATATTTACGATACATACATTATCACTGAAAACAGTAGACTAATGAGTAGGTTGTAAAATTGATAAGTGGGACTTTCAGGATAGTGTTTCAAAGAAAAAAGACTATGACTTCTTATTATTCCTCAGTTTAAAATAAGGATTTAAGCCACATAATAAAAGAATTTTTATTCATCTATGAATCTTGGGTACCTTTCAGTAGTGATCCACGATCCTTCTTCTCTGAGAGACTGATGATTCGATAAAACAGAGTAGAATATAGAATACTAGATAGACTTAATTGCTTGGATTTTACTCTGAAGTAGTAGATGAATCTATGAACTGATACGTAGTTAATGTTAGAGTTTGGTATACATAGTTTGTTGATCAGTAGTAAGAAATATAGCTTAGAGAGTTGGAGCTAGTCAGGAAAATTCATTTGCACTCAACGGTATCATCGTAGAAATGACTGGTTTTAACGTGTAGACTTCTACCATTTTCTATGGGGTAACAGGTATCACAGCCTTTCAGTCATATAAGCAAGTGATTTGTTAATATTTCATTGATTTCAGACAACAAACAGCTTACACCTTTTTCTAACAAAAATCATCTTTCATAGTGAAAAATAATATTGTAGAAGCTTTCAAGCTTTAAGTAAACAGTGAATATTCGTGATACTCGGTAAGAAATCCCCCTCTCCAATTTAGAGCTGTTAGATAACTAGAAATGTATGTGCTTTCTTCCATTCGAAGATTTTAACAAACATTGACTTCATATGGTATGATCTCCAACATCTGATTTCTATCTGCAAAAATTTTGATATGAAAATAGGTGAAAAGTATTTACGCACTAGTATTGAATTGATAGAAGTAGGGTCATTGAAGAGAAACTGATATCTCTGTTAAACAAAGCAAGCCGTTAGAAGTCTTGATGGTTAAGGAAGTTAGTGCTTTTTGCCTCAATAGTAATTCGACAACTATTTTAGAAATTATTATAAGTTACTTGATGGTGGCTAGCAATGGAATCCAGAAACGTGGGTTTCGACCTCTTTGGGAGTCTTCAGCTGAATGAACCTGCACTCCAGTAGTTGATGATGTTGTTCAACAGTTGTATTTTAATCTGATTTTTAGAACTGTCACACGGTGAAGGAACAGTATCATTTACTGGACAACGTTTTAGACACAATTTATTGTTCATATTCATATCAGGTAACTCCAAAATGTTGAGACAAGGTTTTTCTAGTCCTAATTTCTTTACCTTATTTATGACAAGGGTAGCAGAGCTTTCGACGTATCTTGGACAGATGCAGAATCACTTCAGTTATACATATTTAGTGTTGATTCGATAAACAAAGATTCGGTTATCAATCTCTCCCTCCACCCAACTAAGTTAGTTTTCAACACTCGCTCTATCCCACCCTACTGTGTGATTGCGTATAATTGCGTACAGAGCTATAGCCGAGCTTTTCTATAGATTTCTTATCTTATTAAGATCTACTAATCTTGATTTAGCTGAGTTTTTTATGCTCTGTTATTCTAATTGACTCTGGCAGACTACTTTGACCCATATATTTGACCTCTCAATCATTGCAAGCGATTCGTTAAAGCAGATTATTTTGCTCAATGGCATCGATAGAGTCTTTCAACCCATAAAGCATATTTCTGAGCGAGTTCGTTGGTTTAAATGCTAGCCACTATAATTACAGCCAGTCTTATTCAGAATTATTCATAATGCTTGTGAGGTACATTCCTTATGTGGTAACACAGCAGAAGGAATGTATTCCCTCTCAACCCCGTCAAAATTATTATCATTAGCAGTAGAACTGTTGTCGATGACACCTATACTACTACTACTACTACTACTACTACTACTACTACTACTACTACTCACACTACTACTACTACTACTCACACTACTACTACCACTACTCACACTACTACTACTACTACTACTCACACTACTACTACTACTACTACTCACACTACTACTACTACTACTCCGACTACTACTACTACTACTACTACTACTTGTTTCGGGATGATTTATTCGCGCTGTGTTATGTCTATTTAGCATGCTATGAATGTGAATGATAAGTTATGCTTGAAATCTTATCCGGTGAAGTATGCTTTTTCTCTGTATGAAACTTCTAGTCAATCGTCTTAGCTTGCACTTGCTATGTTATTCACTCCACATTAACGTTTGATGAATTGTAACAAAGATTACACTGCGAGGTGCATTTGAATTTCGCTGTAGTAGGTATTGTGTTTGGAATAGATGAATTTCCTGTTCAGAAACTTATATATAACCTAGGAAAGTCACAGAAACAAGACTGGGTAAGCTATATCTTACCCAGTGTATGTATACATTCGTATACCTTGACAAACGATAGATTCTTGGAAGAAAGGACTGAAATACAAAGAAAGGAGATTTTCAGTACGCTAAAGAACAAAACTAACCTGGAATATTTGCTGAAACACTTGGGATTTGTTATCACAATCCACACAAATGCTTGGAAGTCATATATGCCTCTATCTGAAAAAGGGTTACCCCTATTAAACTATTGTTCACAAAAAAGCATTGAGTCAATCGGTCAACTAGAGTGCACACAAACAACCTTAGAAATATTTGAAGTCGTCTTAGAAAGTGCTTAAGACTTTTAACAAGATGACGATGCGATGCGGTGATGCAGAAAATGGTATGGTTTCAAAGATAATAAACCTATTTAAAATCTAGATATCTTCACTTCTCATGTAAAACAGATTAGTTAATTATAACAAAAGTACCATTTCCCATAATAACTACTTAGTCATTCACATTCTTGATCCTGATTGGCCAGTGCATACTTGAAAGTGATTGGTTGTCACTAAAGTTCAGTTGAATCATTTACTCTCTGCCATTTAACGGTTCTCATTCAGATGCCAATTTACCATAAAAACTATCTTCAATTTATTTCCAGTTAACAAAAATTATGAAGGGGAAAAGAAAAGCCCCTAAAATACATTAGTTATTTCACATACAACCTAAGCTATACACTCGCATCTGCAAATACACATATGTAAGGAGAGACCACAAACTATCCGAAACCACGAGCTTACTAGACACCTGAATGGTGAAATTGTGTTTCGTTAGATTCCGTGGGATTGCATACGTTTATTACTAGGATAGCCTGGAAATGAAAGATGAAGTAGAGATGACATAATTTCAACTTAATATCGGAGTAAAACTTGAGCACTGCGGTAGATTATAGTTCGATTTTAATCTGTTTATTAAAATTGTCACATAGGTTCTTGGCTTATATAAATTTAGTAGTGAATGCAATCCAATTTGCTTGTGACTTAGAAAGCGATGAAGATGAGCTAGCAATGTTGAATTGCAAGATTAAACGAACACCAGAAGGAAGTTAAAAGACTAGTGTTTATGAGAAAGCTTCCCATTCTAATCGCTAATTAGACTTCAAATCCTCCCACCCCATTTCAATTAAAGTAGGCTTAGTTAGTTTCTTAAGTGGAAGAGCAAAAACCTTACTAGTAGACCAGAAAATCTACGACGAGAAATTCGACACATCAAGAATAACTTGTATCTTAATAGTTATCCACCTAAGTTTATAAATAAATTCATAAGAAATTGACAGTAAAAATAATGATGATAATAATAATGATAGTAGTAATAATAGTAATAGTAGTAGTAGTAGTAGTAGTAGTAGTAGTGATAGTAGTAGTAGTAGTAGTAGTGTGAGTAGTAGTAGTAGTAGTAGTAGTAGTAGTAGTGGTAGTAGTAGTAGTAGTAGTGTGAGTAGTAGTAGTAGTAGTAGTAGTAGTGTGAGTAGTAGTAGTGGTAGTAGTAGTAGTGTGAGTAGTAGTAGTGTGAGTAGTAGTAGTGTGAGTAGTAGTAGTAGTAGTAGTAGTAGTGTGAGTAGTAGTAGTAGTAGTAGTAGTAGTGTGAGTAGTAGTAGTGTGAGTAGTAGTAGTAGTAGTAGTAGTATCGTTTGTGTGCACAACTGATTTTAAATGGATGAAAGTTTATCGTTTTTTCCCATTGATTGTACACTTTCAGGAAGTTATGCTGGTGAATATAAGAATGGTGTTCGTGAAGGACTTGGTGTGCGTAAATCAATACCCTATGGCGAAGTGATAAATTTTTTTCCTGAAGAAGCTGCAATAGCCGCTGAAATAGCATTGGATATTAAAAAACGTGCAGCATTACAAAGTCTGTTGGATTCAAATCAACACAGTCATCATCATCATCAAACTACTAATAATAATAATAGTGGAACACGTCGTGGAAGTCTACTTAGTCAAAGATCAGGTGATGCAGCCGAATTGGAAGATCCAGAATTAAGTGGACAAGATGATAATGAAGAGGAACCATATTTAGGCAGACATCCAAATCCTTTAGCTGGTCATAATAATAAAGATTTTAGAGATTTACGTATGTCATGTAAATTCAAGTGTGGTTTTGTCCTCTCTTCTCAACGTAGTGAACTTATGTTAAGACGTCAACAAAAGTTGAATCATAGTGGAAGTGGATCATTGATAAGAAGTAAAAAAGAAGCTGGACGTCGTGCAAGATCTTTAACAAATCTTTTTAATCGATCGTTAAGTAAAGAGTCAATAGCTTGCGTTAGACGTCAAGGTAGTATAACTGAACGTTCAGCACGTGCAATAATCAAAGCACAACAAACACCGGAATCTGTTTTCACTTTGGATCAGGTAAAATTTTGTACTGGGAAATATTTACTTAAATTCATAGTATCTTTTTATTTATAATAAATTACAGTTTAGGGATAACTGAATTTTCAGAACAAAGCTATAGAAAATTCTTGAGGCATCAATAAAACTACAGTATTCATCAATGCATATATTAAAACTGAAAAACGGGAAGGTAACTTAATCGACCAGATAAACAATATGTCAACTTTCAAATTCTTATTCAAGGTGGCAAGGGTTAAACAGTATCATTTCCGTGGAAGTAAGTAAGTAGATGCCAATACTGATATACTACAGGAGGGTGAATTATGAAACGGGTAAAACAAATAGGTGATCAGAGAAATACTGATGTGACATACCGTTGGAATACTGAACATTCTTTACGGACTATGTCGTAATTTGCCTGGTGGTGCTCAGCATTAAAACTCAGGAAGCACGTTTTACCCTATTTGAGACTCGTCACCTGGATGAACCTGCACCCTAACGAATGATGTTCCCACAGAGACTCAGGCATAGCACCCATGGTTTCAAACATCAAAGTTGTATCCACTGGATCACTGAGATATAACAGCCACCTCTTGTGCAAAGGTGACCAGTTATTATTACTTATTGGTACTTGTAATGTCTGGTTGTTATTCTGCATCGAATGATCCACCTTTTTGGTGGATGGACTCCCACGCGGATGGTGCCTGTCGTGGACCACGCCTTGGTGTTTCAAGGCATAGGTACTTTGTTCGAGTGTCAGTGGGAGTGGCATCATTCACTGAGGTGCTGGTACATCTGGCTGATGAGTCCCAACCGATAGGATTAAATGCGCCTACTGGATTCCACTACTAGCCACAACCAAGCAGACTGCAAAGCAATCAATAATCAGGTGGTATCAAATCATCTGTAAGGGAATTACAAGTATTAATAAATGACAGGAACTATTATCGTTTTTTCTTTCCAACTTATTTCTACTATATACATCACTGTACACTAGACAGTTGGTTACTTGGTATATATAAAATAGTCCTCAGTCATCTCCTTCTTACAAATGACTGTGTTCAAGTTTTGAATCACCGAAAGTTGGAACTTCCATTGAGTGGTGTTTTGGCTTAATATACAGCACATATTTAACTCTCAAGGACTTCATCAGTGTAATTATTGTCAAAGGGTGACAGAACTGCTACTTAACAGTCTTTTCATTAAAATACTTTTGAAGAAAATCAACTTTAAAACGGTCTTTCATAACGTGCTATATAAATGTGACAATTGATCGGTTGTATGAAGGTGTGTCCTCTGTTTATTAATGGCTAGTCGCCAGTAGTGGGATCCAGAACGCATGTTTCGTCCTATTTAGAGCTCGTCAGTTGGATGTGCCTACCTCCAAGCAAGGGCTTTTATTCTCACTCGAACTCTGGGCCGATCGCCCCGTACTCCAAAGCATTATTCTTTAGACCACCGGGCAAAGGATACAGTCTTTGTGTTATTACTTGTATTATCCAATTGTCGAGTGGACCAAATTGATCGTTCTGTATATGTATATGGGCTCCTGCGCGGATGCCTAGATATTCCCTGTGTTTAATTTATATAATTGATCGGTAGTGGCTAGCAGTGGAATCCAGGACGCATGTTTCGTCCTGTTTAGGACGTTTAAAGCAATCAGTTTGAGTCCTGGTGGCAAGTACATTCAGCTGACCAGTTCCAAATTAGGCTAGTGCTCTCTGTTTATATGACTTATCCAAAAGGTTTTTAGGCGTAAATATATTTCGTAAGGTATATGTAGTCAGGATGTACCTTTTTTCCAAAACCTATTAAAATGAGATATATCTGAGGTTACCAAGGCTCCCCTTTTCTATCAAGTCAAATTAGTAGTATTTTGTTTCGATAATCACTGAGAATTTTCTTAAAACTTATCCACTGAACTCGAGATATAAGCTGACATATTTCTATACCCATCACTTCTTGATCTATGTCAACAAATGAATTTCATTCAAGGAGATTTATCCTAGGTGAAACCATTTATTATCAGTTTGACTGAGATATCTGCAATTTGGTACACTTGTATCGATACTAGTTGATGATTGAATGTGAAATGAAAGTCTAAGGAGTTGAAAAATTCAAACCAGCAACCTACGGATTAGCGTTTCGTCTGCACTCTTTAACAGATGAAATACAACTTAAAAGCTGTAAAGGTTTGTAATGACATAACGTATTGTGACCGGTTACTCTGAAATGTGATTATTTTTCTGAAAATTACTTTATTAGAATTGTTACACAGTTAAGCAGTACCATTCACTGGATAACATTTGGGATATGATTTATCTTTCTCATTCAAATCAGTATGAACATACATAAATAATGACAGTAAATTATATCCATAAACTTGTCCAGTAAATGATACAGCTTCACTGTGGGATATTTCCAATAAACAGAATTAAATGGAACTATGCCAAACCCTTACTCCTACATTAATGAAACATATGGTCTTCCCGTTCAAACATTGATCAACAAGCTCACACCATTTCCACACACACACACAGAACGCAGATATACTAACCACCATACATTCAATATTCAATGTCATCATTAATCGAATCATTCCTAAACATCTACATCTACCTACCTACACCAATTCCAACAGACAGAGTTAAGACAGTATACAAAGGGTGAGTAAACTCTGTCTAGAAGAAGAAATTCATGCAATAGTCAGAAAGTTTGACAATATCAAGAATGATATCTAAGAAGTGAAATGTGAGTTGATGCAACAGTTATGGGGAAAGACAATGAGTGTCTGATGGACAATTGCAATAAAGTGAGATGAGGTTATAGCTGTATTCAAGAAATCGAGAAATCCTCAAATTGAGAAGTTCAACAAACTTGTGGAATAAACTTGTTGTTCAGGTGATGATAATGAGATTGTTAATAGTAGATCACCAATGATTGATTGGTGGGTGAAAGTGTGTTGTTCAATCTCCGCCTCTTTCTCTCTCTCTCTCTCTCTCTCTCTCTCTCTCAGTAGGATTAAAAGTACTAGAGAAAAGCCTTAACTTCAATGCAGCGAGATATGTTTTGAAAATGGACAATAAATTATGCCCCGAAATGTCATGCAGTAAATGATGCTGTTTCGCTATGTGACATTTTAAATAAAAAGTCTTAAATAGAATTATAATCGACCACAGTGTGCAAATTCTCTACCTCATTCATTCATTATCTCACATTTCAGGTAGATGCAATCGATCCTGAGACAGTTGAAACATTTTCTGGTCAATGGGAAGCTGATTCACGTCATGGCTATGGTGTATGTGAACGATCAGATGGTGTAGTCTATGAAGGCCAATGGGTTAGAAATCAGAGACATGGTTATGGCCAGACACATTTTCCAGATGGTGCTTGTGAGCAAGGAAGATATCAGAATGGAAAATTGGTATTTCTGTCATGGCCTAAAGGAGCTAAACCTTATTTAATGTTATACAATTATCATATTATGCGTGAAGTGGCCAATGCTGTGAAACGTGCTAGAAACATAGCTGAAGATGCTCAATTTAAAGCAAATGAAGCTACAGAAAAGTAAGACTTTCGTATGATAAACTATAACCATTTATACGGTATCGTGATGATCATAAACTAAAGCCATCAATGGATGTCATTATTCGAGTGATTAAAGTACTTTTCACCTAAGGAGATTGCCAGATTTAGATAGTGTATTTTATAAGCAACTAATTTATAGCATACTGTTCCGTCATTTAACTGTGATCAACTCATAAGGGCTAAATGGCAACTTACTGTTTGTACCATTCTGATCTGTTCAAATTGGTTTGTCACTGTTCTGATAATGAGATGTCATCAAATAACTTTATTTCTAAGTTTCAATAGTGTGGACATTAGGTATGATAGTTGGTTAGAGGCAATCGGTAAGAAGCCCCGCAGTAAGGTTTCTTGCTTGTTGGAACTCATTAGCAGGGTGCATCTGCAACCTCGACAAAACTGATATCTTGCTTGAGATTCAAATCCACGCCAGCCAGTGCTACAGTCGGAGATGTTATAACTGAGTTATTCGAGCAACGATTGACTTCCTGTAGCATTGGGTGAGGAATAGTGATTGATCACTGTGAGGTTACTAATTTCATGTTATCTAGTCCCAGGTATTGATAGAATTTTGTTGAAAATTTTGCAAAGCGTCCACCATTATAAGGAGGGACAGTGAATATTCGTGGCATTAAATGAGTTATTTTATTATTATTTTTATTATTCGTCCGTTGGGTTCATAGTGGAACATACGGATTCAGTCGCACGTTGCCATTTCACTCCCTTCTCTCCAGTCCTCTCAAATTGGCTCCACCACTGCCCACGACCTTTCACTTCGTTCTCACACAATCGCCTCAATGTCACCCTCAACCACACAACTCGTCATTTCACATTCGGCTCCCACTCGACGGCATGACCTGGCCTGGTCTCGCCTAGCCTAGCCTGGCCTGACAAGTGATGTTCACAAACCGTCTTCTCACTCCACCTCCAATCCGATACAATTCAATCTAATCCATCTCCATCCTCTTCGACTGCATATTCGTTAGGCGATGGGTTCTTCATCAGTTGCTTCGTTGACAACCAGCCAGTCAGTCAGCCAGCCAGCCACAGTTCCTTCTTCCTCATTCCCATTATTCTCGCCACCTTAACTTCATCTTAAATATCCAGTGGGCATAGGTGGCAGCTGTTGACGATGTACGTCAACAGTTTGTTGGAAATGCTTCTCGTAATGCGCTGCCAAGTCTCTCAACCATCACATACAAGCACTGACTCACTTGACTCACATTCGTGTTGAAAATCCAGATGTTGTTCATGCTTCATGCTGAGTGAGTACAGTGGAGTGGAGTGCAGTAGATCTCCACACTGACTAATTTCAGATTAATGAAGGAAGACGTGTCTGGCTGTATTTTCAATCCTGTCTTTGACATTCTCATCTGTGCCACCACCCTCACCTGTAGTTGAGACGATGCTGTCTGGTCAGATAGGTGTAGGTGAAAGAGACAACCTGCTTCAGATTTCTCTCATTGATAGTGATTGATGATTGTTGTTGTTGTTGGTGGTGGTGTTGGTTGGGTATCTCCATCACATCTATCTTCTTTACGTTCATCTGAGAGAAGTCGCGTCTTCCTTCACTGCCTCGTCTAGTCTCGCCTAGTCTCACCTCACCTCACCTCATCTCACCTCTTCTGACAACTTGTTAGTTTTCACCTGTGGATCTTCCAATTTGTGCGACAACACATCAGACATAAATCATCATCGGTGACAAAATCCAAATCTCCTTCTGGAGTCCCCTCATCACATCGGTCCATCCAGCATATTCCCATCTTCTCGTCTCTCACAGTTGTCTCTTGCATGATCCAGTCCATCATAGTCGACGACAATGAGGAAGATGATCAGTGATGGATATTAGGTGGCAACCTAGTTGTACTCGTGTTTCCTGTCTTCACTTGAAAGGCGTCAGTGTGCTTTCCATTGTGAATCACTTGGCATGTAGCATCATCATAAGTTATATAGCTGTTGAGTGAGGTTGATGGAGGTTAGTGGCACTAAAAGCGTAGTGTTGAAGCAGTTACCAGTCAAATTACTTGTCCGTCGACGTTGTCGAATGCCTTTTCGAGATGGATGAAGTTGAGGTAAGGTGGAGAGTTGATTGATATTCTACGCTATGTTGTATGATGATGCGTAGCGTAGTGTTTCAATTGTTCTTCCTGAAGCCAACCAGCCATCCTGTTCCGTTGGTAATTTTCAATTCAGAGCATGTTTTTGGTCTCTGTAGGATGATGCGGTGTAATATTTTGTTTGGAGTGAATAGCAGCATGATTCCGCGCCAGTTCTTGCAATTAAATAGGTTAGTAGGCTTTAAACCGAATGATAGATATGTTGACATAAAGTATTAGAATGTGTGAGCTGCTAATTAGTTAAAAAAAAATTTAAGTGATAAATCTATTTTTATTCGTATACCAGTTCTTAGTTACTCATAAAGTTTCAAAGTGTAACCCAGTAGGAGTTGATACGTGGATTGTATATATGAAAACCTTAAGCGAATGCTGATAAGAAATTGGAGATCAGCTGATATCAGTTAATAATGATGGATAGAGGTTAGGTAGTGGAATCCAGGATAAGTGTTTAATCTTGTTTAGGACTCCTCAGCTAGATCTACCTGTCTGCATTTATGTTTATCCATCATTATTATAAAATTGAAATAAAAGGCATTATGTAGGATCCATATAGAAGCCAATGTACCAATGGAGGCTGATCAATTCGGTCCAATCAGCGATAAGATAATACAAGCAACAGCATAGAAATAGTATTTTGCTGAAAAAGTTATAGGGAACTTTTTAGGAAATGCTAAACATGAACACAAACTAACAGATTGAGGATATCCCATTAAAAAAAAGGTTCTGCTATCAACTATCATTTTTCACTTCTTTTTTTTTAGTTTAGCTAAAGTAGAGAATGCTGTCCAACTGTCTAAAAAGGCAGCAGAATTAGCTAGAGACTATTCTTTGGAGACACGTGAACTGGTCAAAGAAATGTATCCAGAATTTGAACAACCAGGTAATTTTTTTTTAAATAAAAGTATGTTTAACAAATTTTCTCTTTATTATAAAACAGGCAGTTTATTTTTTTTTTTTCAAAAGTCTTTATTTCTGTATGAAGGCTGTCTATTACTTGTTATTCAAGTTGTACAATTAACCAATTCAGTTTATTGGTAATGTAGAAGACTAAAGAGGCGAGAAAATGATTGAAAATATTTTGCTGACCTATATATTTATAGAGGTCGTTGTTAATTGCCGAAGGAAGATGTTAGATCGTTTGTAGAATGTGAGTTGAATCCAATGACTTCCTGGTCACATGTGCATTAGACGTCAGAGATATGAGTTCACTTACATCTCTTGAATCCATTAAGAGCTACTGATTTCAAGTTGGCATTCATCATGGACTGACATCAGCTGGAGAAACACTGGAAACTTAAAAGTATTGAACAGCTGTTTCATCCCACCATGGGACTTCTCAAAAGTACGTAACCATGACCCCACACCACCAGAAGCCGAAACCATGACTATCAGGTTTTATGGCCAGTATGTTACCATTGAGCCACTTGGTCATAATCCAGTGGTGCATATTTCCTACTTATGTCAGTTGACGATATAGCTCAACCATCATCTAATGTCGTCATTCAGTTTTTGTCCTCACAGCCACCAGGTTTTCCCCATCGTTCGTGACTTCTGTTTGAGACTTCAGGAATCACCTCTCGAAGCAAGTCAATTATTGGATTCTGACCCAGTGGCTCAATGGTAAAGTACCATCCGTGGAATCCAAAGGTCCTTGGTTCGAGCCCCGTTGGGGTCGTGGTAGCGAACTGCTGAGGTGTCTCATACTAGGATGAAGCAGCTGTCCAGTACTCTCAAGTTTCCAATGTTTCTCCGACTGATATCAGTCTATGGTGAATATCAACCTGAAAAATCAATAAATCCCCACAAACCTGCATATTGAAAAGTTGTTGATGTAGAACACGAAATTTGTAGAGAATACTGTTGACATTGTAAGTGTTAAAGGTGTTTTACAACATAACATATGGGAAAGAAGGGAGGAGGATACTATGGTAATACATGCATTGCTGATGCTTGTTGGCACACATCTCACTTAGGCCTAACTGCAATCATGAGGAAACTAATAATCCCTCACTCATTCTAATCTGCTCTTCTCAGTACTGAAGTCGGTCAAAGATTTGGCCATCGAACTATTCAAACCACCATTGATCCTTTGTAGGAGCGGTTTATGTTGAAGAAAGACTGATCGAGTGTGAAAACACATTCTTCTTTAATTACGTCTTCGTTTTTGGTTCTATATATATATAGGTTTGCAAATCATACCATATGACCAATCGAATGGTGGGGGTTGAGGAACACTAATTATAGATTTTATTTAGGTGATGAACATAATGAGTTTAAGGAGCCAAGATGCGAATAATCAACAGCGTAATTATCTGGACTTAAAAATGGTAATTATAATAATAGTTATAATAATAGGTTATTGTTACTCAAATGGCACAGTGACTAGAAGAGTAAGTGGAGTCATGGTTGTATTGTGTTCTCTGAGTTGGGTTGTTTAATCGTGAAGCTTTCACCGTCTTTCTAGGCAGCGACATCATCAGCACTAACTTCAGTATGAAGTGAGCTGTCAATATCTCTCCGTCAGTCAGTGATTTAGTAGCTTGATCTGACGATGTGATCTGTGATTGGTTGTTTCCTTCGATTGTTGTGTCATTGATTGTATGGACTTTCCTGTTGGCTGTCCCTCTGCTTCAACTCTGACTGACCTTTCTGTCGTTTATCATTTTTCTTATTGGTTGGTAGATTGGGTCTATGTCTATACATCTGTTGATTGCTGACTGACTGACTGACTAGTCTGAATGGTAAGCTTGTGGGGATTCCCTGATATTCTTTGTGTTTCCTCTCTTCGAGAAATCTGAAACACCTCGTCCAATCATGAGGACATTCCATCAAGTCACCAACAGAGTTCTTAGAAAAGATCAAAAATATTAACACAGAAAACGATAAATTAATGATATCCTTCGATGTTACAGCACTATACACATCCATCGAACCTCAGTTGGCCAAGGAAACGATATCCCTCCTGATCAATGAAGACAAAAACCTTTCAGAACTCACAAAAATCAAATGTTCAAGTCTGATGGAACTCATCGACCTTTGTATGACAACATACTTCCAATTCAACGGCAAGATATACAAACAGATGAAAGGAACTCCAATGGGATCACCGATATCCGGATTAATTGCAGAAGCAGTGATGCAGAGACTGGAAGCCATTATTCTACCTGTGATCAAACCAAAAATTTGGATTCGTTATGTAGACGACACTTTTGTCATCATTAAAAAGAACGATATAGAAAACACCCACAGTTTGATCAACAATGTTTTCAATGAGATCAGATTTACAATGGAGAAAGAATCCAACAACCAACTACCATTCCTGGATGTTTTAGTTAGTAGGATAAATGTCGGAAAGCTGGAAATGCAAGTGTACAGAAAGCCAACAAACACTGACCAAATCCTCAACTACAATAGCAACAACCCAACAACACACAAAATCAGTTGCCTGCAGACTCTATTCAAAAGAGCGAGAACACACTGCAGTACAACAGCTTCACGGAGAAACGAAGAAAATTACTTGATGTCCATCCTAAATAAGAACGGCTACCCACAAAACTTTATCAGAAGATGCCTATCCGTGCATCACCAACTACAAAGTCATCGACAGAAATCAACAAACGCATCATCCTACCATACATAAAGAATATATCAGAAATCACAACAAGATTGCTGAGACCACTTGGAATTGCTGTGGGTCATAAACCAACAAATTCCCTCCAAGCACTATTATACAGACCAAAGGATGCAACAAGCAGAGAAGACAAACCCAATATCATTTACAAAATCAGTTGCAATAACTGTAGTCAGCACTACATTGGACAAAGCGGCCACCCTCTTCGCCTTCGTCTGCATGAACACCAATTGGCTATTAAATGCCACGACATTTCATCACCCATTTCAATGCACGTGGATAATTATGGACATGAATTCAATTTCGATAATGTAGAAATTTTGGACGGAGAGAGGAAACAAAGAATATCAGGGAATCCCCACAAGCTTACCATTCAGACTAGTCAGTCAGTCAGTCAGCAATCAACAGATGTATAGACATAGACCCAATCTACCAACCAATAAGAAAAATGATAAACGACAGAAAGGTCAGTCAGAGTTGAAGCAGAGGGACAGCCAACAGGAAAGTCCATACAATCAATGACACAACAATCGAAGGAAACAACCAATCACAGATCACATCGTCAGATCAAGCTACTAAATCACTGACTGACGGAGAGATATTGACAGCTCACTTCATACTGAAGTTAGTGCTGATGATGTCGCTGCCTAGAAAGACGGTGAAAGCTTCACGATTAAACAACCCAACTCAGAGAACACAATACAACCAAGACCATCCACCTGAGCCACAAATATTCTTCATCATTTCGAGTAAGTGGAGTACTTACTCACCTAGTCATCAGTCATAAATAACAAATAATTACTTAAGAACACGTGAGCGAAAGAATATTGATAGGAGCGAGGAGATGTACAAAGTAATGCTAGAAGTTACATCATGTTGGCGGTCATAATAATGCAATTGGTTGGACAAATTTCCCTTGACTACAAAGATTCGATTTGTAAAAATGGATTTCAGCCGCCTCTCTTGTGTGAAGTAGACGAATTCGTAATCCATTTGCTGAATTAGTTGGTATAAGATGAATAATTTTTCATGCTTTGCCAGTATCTACTATTGTGTCCCGTGTCATCTGAATGTGCATGTGTGAAACCCCTATAACCATAATGGGTGGTGCTCAGAAATTCGACATTGCACCTACCTGATTACTCGCCCAATGTAATTAGCTCCACAGGAGCATTTGAAATGATAAATGCATCTGGAAGTGTCAGAATCAAGCAGTTTGTCTTTATTTCTTGTACCTAAAATGAAGCGGTGCAGATAGAAATCACCTTGGAGGGATTCTTTTAATACCTTGTCTGATGATTTCACTAACAATATCCCCCTTGAATTCTAATTTCAAGAAGAGTAACTCCTTCGGAACTGTTTACTTTCTTAACTTAACTTCATACTTAGTTACAAAATTAATGGATAGGCATTCTTACTAAGCAGGTCACGGATGGTTATGAACTCTTTCTTTATAGTGTCATCAGAGTAAATAGCTGTGGTATTATACGCTGGGTATTTCACCAGGTTTCTGTTGTGTCGGAGTGGTACAACACTAAAGAGGTGCATGTAGTGATTGACCTGTTGATGTTGGGTTTCTACATATAATTCATTTCAGGATTCCATCCAACCTTCTTGCTAGCAGAACATCAAGAAATGTGATACTGTCATGTAACACCCCCTTCTGTTGTGAATTTGATTGCTAGATGAACACTGTTAAACTTATTAAAAATAGTATTCTTATCAGTTTTGTCTTTGAGAACTAAAAAGGTGTCATCCATGTAACGACAAAATTATTCTAAACAGCTAATAGTTTCGTTCGAATGATCATTCTTTAGTTTGACCAGAAAAAGAAGAATTGGTTACCAGAGAGAGGGAAACCGATGTAGTTGTCTAGTCTTGAGTGTTCAATTCTGTTCGGAGAATGTCGATGTGATCAATAAGCTAACTAACATATCACTAAATATACTGTATTTTAGTGTTAGATAATTATATACATTACGGTTGTAATTATGAAGATAGGTAGATATGCCTAACAAATTTGCAGACAGACCTAGCCATATTTCCAGTTATTACTGTATATTGTCGAAATGTAAGTATATTGTCCGTCATGCTAACTCATTAAGTCAACAGGTATTTACTAATTCTTCATGATTAACGGTTTTAACGAACTTTTGGTAGTCAAGGTAAGGCTATTCGATGTACAGCATCCTTGTAGATGCTGTTGATTCTCCAGCGTAAGATGAAATTCGTTCTCCTTATAAATTTCGATGAAGCAAGATGGCCAGCTGAAGTGGGATAAAGTGAATTCGTTTTATATTAGTTATACGGAGGATATCGTCAGAAAGCCGTAAACCTAGGTTTTCTGCTTGTTGGCACTCGTCAGTAAAGCCTATCTGCAACCTGATCAATCAATGACTTCATTTTATTTAAAGCCCACTAATAAGCTGATTACAACCGAAAAAAATTCAACTTTTTATTGTTTGCATGAAGGTGAAGTGTTCACCCAACTTGCAATAGGATTCAGACGAATGTCATTCAGCATAATTTCTTGTATTATACCGAATCCCGGTGGGAACAACATCACTCACTAGGAATGAGGTACATCCAGGTGACGAGTCCCAAATAGGACGAAATGCGCATCCAGGATTCCACTCCTAGCCAATATCCATCATTACTAGAATATCATTCAGGTTGGATTCTTCCCTGATCCTGGCTTTCTTTATACGTTTATTGGGATGTTACATAAGTAATAGTCTGTTAACTTATAGCTTTGCCAAAGACTGATCAGTGATTCGTAGATCTATGACTACACTTCGATTAAGGTGTGGATTTTGTCTGAGCTTGGTTCAGTCTCATTATATAACCAAGGGATAGTTTGAATCTGACAAACAGAAGAGCGAAGAGATCGATTTGTTCATTTTTTTTAGAATTTCATATCACTTTTCTACCAGATTTTCATTTTAAATTAGATTTATGAAGAAATATTTCGAAAAACAAAAGAAACATTGACATTACCGATAGGTAGGGGCTGGTAGTGAAATCCAAGACGTACGTGTCATCCTATCTGGAACTTATTAGTCAACTGAATGTACCTGCCTGTCAGTGAGTGACATTGTTTCCACTTAGACCTGTACTCAGGATCAGTCGCTTCAAACCCCAAAGTTTTATCCACTAAGCCACTGGGGCATCATAACGCTTAAACTTTTGAAGCAACTGGTGCCGGTTAAGAGCCTTAGTGAAGAAAACATCGTTCATTGGGGGGACGGGTTCATAAAGCAGACAAGTTCCAAATAAGACAAGACGTGTGTCCTGGATCCCACTATTAGCTATTAGCGATCAATAATATCACCAAGCAGTTTTGTTTATTCATGAACTTATATATAACATTATCTTTTTTTCACTCAGTTAATATTCATGTATTAACTTTTAAGGTTTAAAGTATCTTGAAGATATGGTACGCCTTATGAAAGTTACTAAACGAGGCAACCAGGCATTTGATACTGCACTTCAAGCTGCTAAATATGTTGTAGCAGGTGTAGAGGCTAATCTAGCTGAACAAGCAGAACATCAAAATCAACAACAAGAAGGTGATGATCAAAATCATTCACCTATGAACTTAGATATGTTACCTCCACCACCACCTAGTAGTACTACTACTCCAGTATCTAGAGCTGGATCATATCGAATGAAACGTCATGGTAAAAATACATCAGGCAAGCAGAAACATCCAAAGGATAAGTTGCATTCAGTTGAGATGAAAAATATTGAGTATTCTGTAAGTTTATGCACTGTTTAGTTTTGTCAGTCACTGAACAAGTTATGTTAAAAGTTGAATTTTATCATTAGTGTTTTCGTACTCTGAGTAATTTTCAGAACTTGGTACGTATCATTAAACAAGAGTAAAACGTGGATACTGTGGAAAATTGTAATTCCATTTTAGTCTATTTCGGACATAAGTTATTGTCCATATTCATATCAGGTATATTATGACCAATGAATAGTCATGATCCAATTTGGCAATTACTATCATTTCAAAGGTTCTTAAGACCTTCGCTTCCTAGTTTGGGTAAATTTGGATCCATTTTCTTTATCTGCAATTGTCTTATCGATTGAACTTGACACTAATCCTACTGAGAGAGGGAGAGAGAGAGGCGGAGATCTGCGTTGTGTGTGTGTGTGTGGAAATGGTGTGAGTTTGTTGACCAATGTTTGAACGGGAAGACCATATGTTTCAAGTTGTTATTCATCGTAGACTGACATCAGTTGGAGGAATGAAGGAAACCTGGGAGCACTGGACAGCTGTTTCGTCCTAGTATGGGACGCCTCAGCAGTGCGCACCCACCACCCCACCAGCAGGGATCGAACCCGCGACCTTCAGGTTCCGTGGCCAGCACGTTACCATTGAGCCACTGGGTCACAATCCAATGCTCCATATTTCCAACTTCTGTTAGCTCACGATATATTTGGCGCAACCATATGTTTCAATAATGTAGAAGTAAGGGTTTGGCATAGTTCCATTTAATTCTGTTTATTGGAAATATCCCAGAGTGAAGCTGTATCATTTACTGGACAAGTTTTTGGATATAATTTATTGTCCATATTGATGTGAATATGGACAATAAGTTGTGTCTGAAACACTATCCAGTATATAAAACCGCTTCAACGTGTTACAATTCTAATGAACAAACTAAAATGGAGTTGTTACGCACCTCTAGTGAATTTTTGCTTGAGAAATGATGTCAGTCACTCAGTTGATACGCAAGTGTTTTAGTGTTAAGCTAGATAGCATTTTCAGTTCCACTGTGTGGTGACAATGTCATTCGAAGTTGTTAACACGTGTTTTAATTGGTTTGTGAAATACTTAAGTCTGACTGTTGAGAGATTTCTGATCAAACAATTTTAAATACTTCATAGTGTAAATTTGGAAATATTTCAGTCTCATGTTAGCAATGGATTAATGATCTTGATCTGTGTTGTTTTAGTAGTACAAGTAGTATACAAATATTTTGTTCCAGATATGTCATCTGATGACATTAACAAATCGATAAAGTAGTTACCTGTACAATATACTTTTTCTGTCCTAAACTTCAAAACAGAATGATCAGACTAATGAAGTGAAATCTTCACCTTGTACAGGTTAAATAATATTGAAACAGTTTTCGGTCTTCTGTAAGCATAATGACATGACTGATACCGGCAGGGATTTTTGGATGACCCCTGTGTCAGTAGGTTTCCCTAAGAACAAATCAGAATCCCAGTTAGATGATGGCAGTCGGCCAGAAGTCCTGAACTTAGGTTTTGTGATTTTTGGGACTTGTCAACAGGACCTATCTGCAACCTTGTCGGGACTGATATCCTACTTGAGGTTCGAACCCACGTCACTCAGTGATGCAGTCAGAGACGTTACCACTGAGCGTTTCGGGCTGCGAATGACCTCGTGAATTCTATCGGCCATGTTGCAGTATGTCCACCGGGTTAGTTGATTCAACATCGCGATACAGTTTGATAGTTGTTAGCTGAATCCAACCAAATTATGGATCTCAAGATATTACTTACCACGGACTAACATCATTTGCAGAACCACTGAAAACCTCGGTGAAATGAGCAACTATTTTGTCCTAGTACGGGACTCTCCTCAGCAATATATACCTAAAACCGAACTCACGACATTTCGGTTTCAAGGCAAATGTATTAACGTAAAGTTTCATACTTCTGTAAATTTACGATGTAGCGCAACTATTCACTAAGATCTTCTATTAGCCTCCTCTTCACTTCCGACTAGTTGACCTCATAGGTCACAGCTTCTCATCAGAACTTATGGATATTCTTCTCAAACCATGTCAGTAATATGCACTATACAGTAATGTTGTTAACTGACTGATATTGGTTAGTGGACTCTGGATTTAAGTATCCTTTAAGTATCCTTTTACTCAAAAGATTGATATTCTTTCAATGTAGATTATCATTTATTGTACTGAAGAAATGAAATTACTACGAATAATGTCCATAAGTGATTTTTTTTTGCATGATTTTATATGTGGATCTTTAATCTTCTGTTTGTTTATTTAGGCTGATAATAATACTAGTGGACCATTAACCCTACAAGTACCTCAACTAAATTGTAGAAATGTTGATTCTTTATTCAATGATGAAAATAATTTAAATTCTGTACAAAATTATTAAACCCATCTAAACTGCATACAATTAATACACATCATAATGATTATACATCAAATCAATATGAAGTACACATGATTAATGATGTATCATCTGAATGTGATTCAATTGATGAAGAAAATCGAATTACACGACGTTCATCAGAATCATCAAATTATATTATCCTGCCAACAAGTAGGTTAGATTTCCTTTTTAAAAAAATGGAATTGATTGATTAATTCACTTTGTGTTGTTCAGTAGAAGTTTAATGTTTTACAGATTGGTATAGTTACATGTTCTAGTATCCGGTGATGCCTTCACCGATAGAATTCATTCCAATAAAGACACAGTATTAGTCTGGAGAGCTTAATGACTTAGACCATAGCTTCAAAAGTAAATGACAAGCTTTAAAACAGAGCAAGAAATTTTTTTAAATATCATTGATATCCTTATTTTAGCTTTTGCTTTACCAACCTCATTCAACAGCTATATGACTTATGATGATGCTATATGCCAAGTGATTCACAATAGAAAGCACACTGACGCCTTTCAAGTGAAAACACGGAACAGGAGTACAACTAGGTTGCCACCTAATATCCATCACTGATCATCTTCCTCATTGTCGTCAACAATGATGGACTGGATCATGCAAGAGATAACTGTGAGAGACGAGAAGATGGGAATATGCTGGATGGACTGATGTGATGAAGAGACTCCAGAAGGAGATTTGGATTTTGTCACCGATGATGATTAATGTCTGATGTGTTGTCACACAAATTGGAAGATGCACAGGTGAAAACTGACAAGTTGTCAGAAGAGGTGAGGTGAGGGGAGACTAGGCGAGACTAGACGAGGCAGTGAAGGAAGACGCGACTCCTCTCAGATGAACGTAGAGAACACACAGGTGATGAACATACCAAACCAACAACCACCACCACCAACAACAACAACAATCACCAATCACTATCAACGAGAGAAATCTGAAGCAAGTTGTCTCTTTCACCTACACCTATCTGACCAGACAGCATCGTCTCAACTACAGGTGAGGGTGGTGGCACAGATGAGAATGTCAAAGACAGGATTGAAAATACAGCCAGACACGCCCTCCTTCATTAATCTGAAATTAGTCAGTGTGGAGATCTACTGCACTACACTACACTGTACTCACTCACCATGAAGCATGAACAACATCTGGATTTTCAACACGAATGTGAGTCAAGTGAGTCAGTGCTTGTATGTGATGGTTGAGAGACTTGGCAGCGCATTACGAAAAGCATTTCCAACAAACTGTTGACGTACGTCGTCAACAGCTGCCACCTATGCTCACTGGATATTTAAGATGAAGTTAGGGTGGCGAGAATAATGAGAATGATGAAGAAGGAACTGTGGCTGGCTGGCTGGCTGGTTGGTTGGTTGTCAACGAAGCAACTGATGAAGAACCCATTGCCTAACGAATATGCAGTAGAAGAGGGTGGAGATGGATTAGATTGAATTGGATGGGATTGGAGGTGGAGTGAGAAGACGGTTTGTGAACATCACTTGTCAGGCCAGGCTAGGCTAGGCGAGACCAGGCCAGGTCATGCCGTCGAGTGGGAGCCGAATGTGAAATGACGAGTTGTGTGGTCAAGGATGACATTAAGGAAATTGTGTTAGGACGAAGTGGAAGGTCGTGGGCAGTGGTGGAGCCAATTTGAGAGGACTGGAGAGAAGGGAGTGAAGTGGCGACGTGCGACTGAATCCGTATGTTCCACTATGAACCCGACGGATAAATAATAATAATAGATTTGCTTGTTTTATTAATGGATGTCGAGAAATGCAAAACTAGGGTATTCTGTTTCCAGATGCCAAGTGCGCAGAATAAAGGGATAGTCGATTTTGGTATCATACCACTTGTGTGAATTGGCGAATCGTGATGCTACCTGATTGACTTCGCTCAGAATTCGGTGCAAATCTTTAGACAGCCATTATACCTAACATCTAGCTGTCATTTCTTCACGTGAATAGCAGACTATACCGACAATGAATAAGAAGTCAATAACTTCTTAGCATACTGAAAGAGTATGAATTAGAATTACACATTCTAGTCGTTTAATTTGTTACTTAGGATGCTGGGATTTATTAGTGGTTGGAGAGATGAAGGCATCCTTGAATCATTCATCGGATTGGTGACCAATTTAGATGCTAAATCCTACATGTTTACTAATAGTTGAAGTTAGTCAATCAAGTTTACAATGTATTAACTACCACAACACTGAGATATAGGAAGTTTTCGGTTTTACATCTATGGAGTCAGTTAACAAGAGTCCCGTCGACTTGTGTTTCTGACCATTCGACACTAATAAAGTATTTACAACTAGATTGTTTATCGGAAATTACTACGTTGAAAGACACATATCACTATGACTTCTAATCAGCTAAACAGCTTCTGAAGACCATATGAGAAGATGATGATGATACAATCCAAACCTAGCTAGGATATGCTCAACACTACATAATCAGTCTTTACAGATTTGAATCCAGTGATTCTTGTTCCTATGGTAAACAAATTTTTTTATGGTTGTTACTTGCTACTTTTCAGATAGATCAAGAGTTTTAGCTCATAATATCATTCTGTTCGACATCTGAAACAATCTAGTGTCTGTGATGTTAAATGAAATACACTTTGAATTTGAGTTCTTTAAGTATATATAACCTTTTAGCTACTAAACTGATAGACGCTGAGTTCAACCTTCACTGATGAAAGACTGTTCTACCCCAACTTTCAGTTTCATATCGGTCTTCAGATTTATTGACATTCCAATACAAACCTTGGTGGATTGGTCCCCTCACCTAGCAGGAAAGATTATAGCAACGCTTCCACAAACACTTCTGCGAGAGAATTGTTTTAATGCATCATCAAAACTGATCAGTTTAATCCTACAACAATCCTAGGTGTCAGGCTTCAACGCTTCCACATTCTTTGGATAATCGAATCGTTTGACCATACTATGATCTCTGTGTGCAGAAGTGTATGAGACGCATCTCACTGAGTCTCAACAATCTTAGAGAACAAGATACAGCTCACCTTCCGCAAAGGACATTCCCCTCAGGTGCCTGTCGCATTAGGCAATAATGCTAACCTATGCACGGCTAGTGATAAGCAGCTAAGGCTGGGACAAACGACACTTGCATTCTGCGCAGAATACTATGCACCTTCGCCAGGTAAATCACACTGCATCCCTAGGGACTACCTCAATGTTAGTGACTGATGGGACTAGGAAGCTATATTTCCCTTATATCTCAGTCTCGCTACTCCCAGAGCACTGAGCAGAATCCTGAAAATTAGTCAGACCTTTCATGTCCTCCGGATTTATGCCACTGATCTGCTCACACGGGTCTCTTCGACCTCATTTACCGTTAGGTCAACTCTGATATTATATTGGTTGATATCCATCGGGGCCACATGGAGGTTCACTGTCGTTGCGTAACTAGGTCCCACCCCTAATCCCCGATGCATGTACTATCTCGTTTCCTAGGCCAGCAGCACAAACACCCTTAGCACTTAACCATGCTGTGTAAAACTCCTTTATTTTGACGCGCTGCTATGAAACCATGCCGGAGACACTTTGCTGCCTAGAAGAGTCATAGATACTACTAAAGTTGAGTTTGATCGTAAGTGCTGAAACGCTCACTTGAATTCAGTGATATCCGCCTGCTAATAACCAAAGACGATGGAAAATGTGGTCCAGATTTCAGCGCCAGTCACTTGTAGGTGCAAATAATCTACATTCAAGATTAATAGAGATATTCATCTAATCACTATGTAAGCCAAATTTTCTTAATACGAACAACTAGAAAGTTTAGCGTGGAATAATAGCCTGATGAAAGTTTTTGTTATTAATGGGTGTAGCGTCGAAAAGGTGTTATGTCTACTTCTAGAATTTCCAGACACTGCATTTGGCGGAAGGTTTAACTATGTGTTATTCAGAGTGTTGGAATCAATCAATGGGAAAATAGATTTTGTATCTAATTTTATTATTATTATTATTAGTCCCTTGGGTTCCTAATGGAACATAGGGCTTCAGTAGCACGTCTCCATCCCACTGTGTTCTCTGAAGTCTTTTGAATCTGGCTCCACGACAGCCGAGAAGCTCTCATTTTCTCCTCGCACGATCTCCTCCATGTCACCCTCGCCTCGGAGTTTCTTTAGCGGTTAGATTTGTTTTACGGTGTAGGGTTGCTAGCCCTATGCCCAACCTTCCCTCTTTACCCGGGCTTAGGACCGGCTAGTGACTAGTGAACTAGTTAACCAGGCGAGGTTTTGTATCTAATTAGTACTTTTTAATTAATTACCGAAATGGCATACATGTAACCTAAAGGAAAGTTATGTTCTCTTGAGTACTTAAAGTTGCGTCACTTTATGTCATGTTAAAAGGCTCTACTACTTAGCCAAGTAGTCGTAGTATAAGGTTACTCGTAAGGCTTAGGTAAAAGCCGAATAACCAGATATATTTTTGATATGAAAGTATGACGGTATCAGCTCGACGATTTGAAAATGAAACGGTGGAAGGAAAAGTTAACAAGAGGAACTAAAACGAGGAAATTTGACAAAAAGAGAGTGGTATGTCTCAGTTTCAGTTTTCCTGTAAGATTTTTTGGTTGGCAGATTAAGGGAAGTGCTCAAACGCAGACTGTAAGTGTTATTATCCCCTGAGTTGCTACGTTCAAGCTGACCTCACAGTCACTAACGTTACACCAGCTGACTTAACAGAAAGAAGACGAATTAAGAGCAAAGGTAATATAACCAGTTCTAAAGGTGATAGCAAACGAAGAAGTTTAATGGGACACTAGGGAAAGGCGATTTATCGCAATGGAAATGGAAATGGTAACCTGGACTGCAACAAGATTTGAACCAGCGTCCTGCAGACTACCACCCCAGTGTTCTATGAAGTGAGCTACGAATACTGGGTGCTGATCAGATCCTATCTTCCCTTCGATCACCAAAGTTTATACTCAATCGTCATGTAACTACGTGATGCGTAACTATACCTGTCATGGTTATCACGCAATCAGACGAGAAACAGGTAAACACTTGGTGGTTCAAGCAAATCAAAGTAGAAAAAGGTGTATGGGAGGAGAGGGAATTTAAAAATGCTTTAGAAGACGTCAGACAGTGAATACATCTACGCCACTGTTACCGATTTCCCACTATGTCACTAAGAATCCTCAACAACTGAGTTTCCTCACCACGAAGACCACACTCAGGTAGTCTACTCCTCCCTATACGACTCAAACCAACAGTCAGAGACTCCATAAACTGGCACCACTTCTTGGTTCGGCCACCTTGAGCCTTCTTTCAGCCTAACACTTTCAGAGAGGTGGTGGCTGTGAGTATGCAGTACATGTGCAAGTCGTTTCAGTCGATGAAGATTCAAAAACTCATCAATTTTTCTGAGTACTTGTCACTTGACCTCAATATGGCTCACACAATGATTCTATTAAACGTGAACAATCTGCATGTTGAGCTCATCTAGTACAACACTGGGTTGATAATCTTGAAGTCATTAGTCTGAATCCTCCTTCAGGTCTTGTTTTCAGTTTACCTTAAATCATCACTGTATATCGGTAATATCAGTTTGTCAAGTTGAAGCTATCTCAACAAAGTCTCCTCAAATTAAGCACACTTAAGTGAATCCATTAAAATACTTTAAACTCACCTGTAAGCAGTACAATCTGATTAGTCTGCATGTTGTTAAGAAAATAATAACTACAATGCTGACTTATGGGTTCGAAAAACATAGTGTTTGTAACTGTTGAAAAAAGAAGTTCATTAGTGACGACTTTCTAGAGGTGGCTCCTGAAGTTCCAATGAAAAGTTAGGATCAGAGGGGCCAGTCAATTTGGATATGAAGAAAGTTATTAACAACGGTATTGAATGGAGGTTGCACTATATTGTGAACTGACAAGAGTAGGAAATATGAACCATTAGATTTCAACCCAGTAGCTCAGTGATGATCCTTGGTTCGATCCTTAGTGGGGTGGGGTCATAGGTGCGAAATGCTGAGGAGTCCTATACTTGAACGAGATTGATATCACTCCATGATGATTATTAACTTGAAATGACCAGTAACATTTACTTGGATTAAGTTAGTTTGGTGAAATGTACTCTTATGAAAGAAAAATGATAGGAAAAGAATTTGTACTTTGATGGCACTAGCGAAAAGGGACTGAGAGAGGAATTTAGAACATTTGTTTCGCTTCTCTGTAGACAATGTCAGCTGTATGCATCTCCTCAGATTGCTGCTTACAACTGAACACTGAATTCTAATAGATCGCTTCAACTTACAGAGTATTAGGGGAGTTACGATTGGCATTTTTTGTGCAGTAAGCTCAGTTAGGTATTATAGCTTGCACGATAATAATATTAGTAATCATAACCTCAGGGTTTTTAACCGGTTCGTCGCATATAATTATTTCCTTGTGTTAAAAAAAGTCTTATAGAGATAGTTCTCATACTGGATTTCACAACTGAAGATGATTCAGTATTGAACATTCACTATTCACAGACGTTTAGCAACGACTATGCAAATGAAAACTCTTTTCAAAGAATATAATCTTGCCAATTAGCATGTGTTGAATAAGTCAAACGAAGGTAGTGGGAGCTTAGCATATACTACTCTATTCTTCTTTTAGTAAACTTGTTGAAATGGGGACATACTTCAGCGTTTTCTTCACCAAACTCTGTTAGTTGGTTGGAGATAAGCGACAGGAAGCCGTGGTTCACTTAGGTTTCGTGCTTGTTAGCACTCGTCAGCAACGTGTTTCTACAAACTAGGCGGAAATGATATCTCGTCTGAGATTCGAATCTCCAGTCACTCACTGTTGCAGTCAGCGGCGTCTACACTGATCAGTTCGATTGAGGTTGACCTAATGTAGGATTGGATTAGGTACATTGATTGGCCTATTACATGTTGTCTAGTCCTGATTACCGACCGAATTCCGCTGATCATTTGGCAATGTGGCCACCAAGCTTGGAGGCTCAGGATCAAGGTGCTTAGTTGAAGGCTTTCTGGCGATTGTCACCAACCAACTAACACCCATTGAAGGTGATATTGTAAAATGATCGATAGAACTTCATCAGTATTCAGGACTAGACAACACGAAATTGGATGCTTCCGGGTAACCAATCAAAACATTAAACCCTAATCCAAGTGACAAGTGGGTATTTCATCCTATTTGGGACTCTTCAGCTGGATATAACTGCACCTTGGTAGGTGGTGTTGTTTTCAGTAGGATTTGAATCCAGTACCAATCGATTCAAATAACAAAGCAGGTGCACTTGAATCCAACTAAGCAATCATAAATATGATGAAACGTACATCTCAGATGCCACTACGAGCGACTAAACAGATTAAAACATAATGAGTAATCAGGCAGTATCAAAGCATCCTCATAGGAGATCATCTGCTGATAAAGATTCAGCAATTCGACCTAGAGATTACAAGTATCAAACATCAATCAGATTTGCTAGCAATTACATTTTTGATGGTTTTGTATATCTATGTGAGTGGGATAAATTCAATATTTACTTTCATGCATTAAAAAAAAGAAATTTTCTTTTTTTCAGTTAATATGCTGAAGCCTAATTCAGAACTGCCTACAATCCCATTGAATAAATTAATGTCGAATGCAGGAGTAATGGATGATTATTTTGCTCAGTATAAAATTACATCTAAACAATTTCCTATTGAAAGTGATGAAATTGATTGGTCTACAGAAAAGTTAATTGAATCCAAACACATACAGTCTATTCATTCACCAAATGATTTAAAGGTATATAACAATTTAAAACATTTAAAAACATCAACATATCCACGTTTTGATGACAAAAATGAACTTAGTAAAGGACTTATTCGACGTAGAACACTACCAGGATTTTTAACTCAACCTCCAGTGGATTTAAATAGATATGCTAACTTACCAGTACTTCAAGAAAATGGAATCACGGTAAAGTTTGATGAACATTATATATATATATATATATATATATATATTTTTCACAATAATTAATTTGGTTGTGCCTAGCAGAGGAATCCAGGATGCATGTTTCGTCCTCTTTTAGACTCATCAGCCGGATGTACCTGCACCCCAATAAGTGATGTTGTTCCCACTGAGACTGGAACCTCGTACCCATTGCTTTAAACACCAAAGCGTTACCCATTATGCCACTGAGGCACGCTAGCCACCTCTTGTACAATTGGTAGTAGTGGTTACTATATGTTGATACGCTCATAGTTCTCCGTTGTCTAACTCGATAGAATTGTCCAACCTCAATTGGCATGTGGGCTCCTATGCGGATGCCCAGATATTGCCTGTTTATTTATTATGGTAATTTAGTTGGTTAAGTGATGTTGTCCTCACTGAGACTCGAACCTCGTAGCCATCCCTTCAAACGCCATGTCCTTATCCACTAGACCACTAAGGTACGGTAGCCGATAGTTGAAAAAGTCGATCCAATAAGGCAACAGAGAACTACAAGCATACCAACAAATAGTAATTATTTTCACACCTATAAGTATTTCAGTGTATCGGGAAATGTGCGGTAGGCAACGTCAACTTGTGTGTATTTCATTTTCCAAAGTCAAATGAGACGGGTCGATAACTGAATCTCTCTGAAGAGGATGATTTCATATACTGCTTCTGCAACATATATATATATAAGGTTAAAAGGATAACCAATAAGAATGTAATATCAATCATAGTATTATGGCATAAAACGGAGACAACCAATTAGAATGTTATCACGCATATACACAGATAATTTAGGCGAATGACTTTAAAAGTCACCGTACCAACTAATAAGACAGCCAATTACATTCCTCTATTTTGTATAAAAGTACTTTAGCAGGGGGAATACTGCAACCTGATTAGCTGCTGGATCGGCCTTTAAAGTCACTATAAAGGTCACTTTTTCAGGCCAACTGAATTTAGTCTGTAGGTGAAATATGATTTGATGACGCCTACTAGTCAGGCATGTTCCTATTATGACACTTCAAAGTTTTATTTTCCTCTTTGTAGTTAATTGTCTGAATGCCTACATCTAATTGATTTATATTTTGCAAGCATCCTATTTTCTGTGTTAAGCTTCAGAACTCGAAAACTTGATATAGTGATCAATGAAACCAATCATGTTATATTTTGTAACAATTTGAAAAGATCTCGATATTCTCATGGTAATTAACCTGGTCTCATCTGATATAAGACATATCTACAGGAAGACCAATTTCCCGCCAGTCTTACAAATAAAGAAATTTGAATAAAGCAAATACAAAAACATTTACAGGATAATTCCCCAGTTGTTATACTGGATTGAATTGATCGACCCCTGTTGGCATTTTGGCTCAGTATTAACAGGATATTTTTTCTTATAACTGACTTGGTTGTGGTTAGCAGTTGAATCCAGAACATTTCGTCCTGTTTGGTATTCGTCAGCTGTATGTACATGAACCCTAATGACTGATGTTGTTACCACAGGAGGCGATAATCCTGTCTAATTGTTCTAGTGGACAACGCTTTGGTGTTCGATGTGGAGGGTATCAAGAAACGAGTCTCAGTGAGAAGAATGTCACTCAACGGATGCAGGTACATCTGGTTGACGAGTCTCAAATAAGACGAAACACTTGTACTGTATTCTACTACTAGCCACCAAATAGACTACAGTATAGTGTTTACTAATTAATGAAATATACTACTGACTAACATCAATATTTAATCTGGCTGACTTTCAGATTTTACTAGCCTAGTCAGTGTTATCTAAACACTGAGTGACCATTTTAATTACTTGTGTTAATTAATCATTCAAATCAGTGATAAGTAAATTTAAACCAGTGTAAAATGAAAACCAGTAATGAACACTGATAATATTTTGGATGGTGATCAGGCTATATCATATCGTGACGGAAATCTGATGGTATGCTGCTTATTAGATACATATTCTGGAGCTGACTGGTAACACTGTTGATATAATAGACCTGAATGAATTATGTTTCACTCTACTCAGAATCAGCGGAATAAGACTAATGCTCACTGCTTATAAGTTGTAGGTACTATAAATTTGCTCGGTTTAAGTTGTCTCAAAGAGGTGGTTCTACAAATAGAGTATGCACGCTGACCTTGTATACGATTGGTCGCTCGTAAACAATATTATATATTATTATCCGTCTCTTGGATTACCAGTAGAACACAAAGATTCAGTAGCATGTCAACATTCAACACTCTTCTCTTCAGTATTCTCAAACTGGCTCCACCAATGCCCACAACCTTTCACTTCGTCCTCACACAATCGCCTCAATGTCACCCTCAACCACACAACTCGTCATTTCACATTTGGCTTCCACTCGACGGCATGACCTGGCCTGGTCTCGCCTCGCCTAGCCTGACACTAGATGTCCACAAGCCATCTTCTGACTATATCTCCAATCCAATCCATCTCCACTTTCATCTACTGCATATTCGTTAGGCGATGGGTTCTTCGTCAGTTGGTTTGCTGACAGCCAGCCAGCAATAGGAAAATACTCTGTATTCAAAATTGAGGTAAGGTAGAGAGTTGAATGGCATTTTATACTTTGTTCTATGATGATGGGTAGCGTTGCAGCGCAATTTGATGTGTACATGAACTGTTGTTCCTGAAGCCAGCCAGCCAGCCTGTTCTGGCGGTAAATTTGAACACAGAGCATTTTCCTATTAGTCTCTGCAGGATGATGCGGCATAATATTTTGCTTGCTTTGGGTGGACAGCAGCATGATTCCAAGCCAGTTCATGAAAAGACTTAGGTCTCCTTTCTTTGGAAGTTTAACAAGGTAGCCTTTCTTTTAATAAAAGGGCAGGTGCTTTTCCTCCCTTCCTTCCAAACCTTCTGCAGTAGTAGTGTAAGCATGTCTGCTGTCGATGTCTCTGCATCTGTTTTCAGTGCTTCTGGAGGAATTCCATCTGGTTGTGCTGCTTTCCCGAATTTCAACAACTATGGTGTTCAGGACTTCAGGTTTTCTTTTGTCGGAGGGGTTGTGTTCACTGGTAGTTCTGTTGCTGAGCAGCTGGTGGTATTTCCAGATGAGTTGTATGTGGTGATGGTGGTCTATTCAAGAGCTTTTGGAAGTGATCAGTCCATCTTTTTTTTCGTTCCTCCTCTTTAGTAACTAGGTTTCCTTCACTATCTTTCGTTGATTTCATCTGTGTTGATCTCTCCTATCCCAGATAGTAAGCTGGTTATTTGATATAGTGTTGTCAGGTCTCTCCTACTAGCAGTCTGCAGCCTGTTGTGCTCCACTTGCCGGTGTTTTGTGGAAGTGTCTTTTTTTTATGCACGCACTCTTCTTCACTTCCTTGTCCAGTGTAATGTTTTATATGTTGTGTTCAGTTCGTCTTTTCACTATTCATCCCTCCACTGCACTGCACTGGTTCATTTTTGGGTTGTACTCAATCTAGCCACATAAGCATTCACGCCAGTAGAACACAGAGCCTTGTGCTAATCTTGGGTATATATTTCAGGCGATCTGATTCATTGTTATGCAAAAATTTATGAACCTGACTACAATACACCATAATTTATAAAGCACAATAATGAATTCCACTAAATACCTAAGTATTACCAAACTATAAGTCATGTATATATATATATATATATATATATATATATATATGAGTGTGGTGTTTATTGACAGTTTTTGGACCTTGCAAACTATGCAGTAATGTTGCTAATCCATTCATAAGTAGAATGACTTTGAAAACCTTAACCAATGACACTTTTCTCAGATTCAAATTTTCCACTTTTCGATTGATATAATCATAATTACTTCTGAGAATAATATCAGTTTAGTATGAAAACTACTTTCAAGCTGAACAATCCCCCTAAAATGGAACAGAGAAATTCTATGAGTTATAAAATTATCCTTGAGATGTATGTCTTACTACTACTACTACTCACACTACTACTACTACTACTCACACTACTACTACTACACTTGGTGTTAACTTATTTTAAATAATCCGGTGTTCATAAGTGACTTGCTTAGAGAGTATGTTCCTGAATTATTCAAAGATAGCCTTGAAATCTGAAGGTTCTGGTTTCGATCCCTGGTGGAGCGGGTTCATGAGTGTACACTGCTGATGAGTTCAAAACTGGGACGAAACAACTAACCGGTGCTGCTCGGTCTTCAATCATCCTGCAAATAATGTCACTCCGGGATGAATACTAACTCGATGTCAGTAAATAAATCCTTACAAACCGCCAAATTGAAGTATTCCTTGTTTTGATCAACTTTACCACTGTCAACTTATGTGGAGCGCTATTTCTCGAGTTTGTACAAAGGTAACTAGGTACTTTAGTCACACTTCCTTCCCTTTAAACTACTTTTTCCCTATCAGTAGTGGTGTTCAAAAGTGATGATGACATATTCGATACTGCGTAACGATCAAAGATGAATTATGCGGGTTCAAATTTCAGGCGGGAAACCCGTTCTGTCGAGGTTGCAGCTATGCCTTACTGAAGAGTATTAACAAGTACAAAATGTAGGTCCATGGCTTCCTGTTGATTGCCTCTAACTAGCTGACATCTACCAATATACACCACAATGCTGAGCCTCCTAGCTTGGTGGCCACATTGCAATTATGATCGATATACATTCGGTCTGCACTCAGGACTAGATAACATGAAATCGGTTGCTCTCCAATGACTAATCAATGTACAAAACAAAAATCAGGGTGACGCTAAGGTTTATACTATTAGCTCCCAGGTTACCTATCTGGTGCTCTACCAACTGAAATACGAAGCCCTTCTACTGGCTAGGACTTAACATTGCTTCAACCACCTAAGGTTTTACTGGGTTACTGTCCGTTCAATTGCAATCACAGTAGCTGCTCAGGCAGGTAACACAGAGACGGCTGGTTTGAATCCTACTTTTCCACTTCATCTTTAATCAGGAGCCAATATCGATTGCATCAGTCTACCAAATCACGCCCATCTCAGATAGTCTAACTAATGACTATATCTTCGTGTGAACTACGACGGATAATTATTGTCAAGGTGACGTTGATGAGTTGTTTTTGAAGTCTAGTCTCTTCATCACTCCACGAACTAATGAGTAATAATGTCAACATCTGTTGATATTTTCTTCATGTCAAATATAGTTTGTTTCGAAGTCTAGAGGGTGATGAAATATTCCAAGCATGCTTCATAGCCTAATGGCTAACTTTTCCCTGCCTTCTCATAGTTGAGAACTGTGACTTGTCTCACATTTTGGTTATAAGGATTAAGTCATTTCTTTGTCAAGCGCATACACCTAACAGTTTGATAGATGAAGCTTTACAGGTCTTTTTGAACATTGTCCGAAAACTTTGCACATTAAGAAACCAAGCACTATGAAAGGTGAATTCGATTGTCACTTGCCAGACACTAGATTGATAAGAGAATCAGAAATAAGCTCCAATGTTATCAGAAAGATGTGCAATCTTGTAATAAAGGAGAACACTCACACAATTTCCTGTTCAAAACGAGAATTTATAGGATACCTTAACTTATCTTACTTCTTGCATATATCGGTTTGATTATTCCTGTGAAGTAGGCTACATAGAATCAGGCAGGTGTATCTTTGGATAAAGTACAAACTCGAATATCAACAAGCGAAAACTAACAAGTTGGCACAAGAGGCGAAGGGAGACTAGACGGGACTTCCTTCAGGTGAACGTAGAGAACACACAGGTGATGAACATACCAAACCAACCACCACCACCACCACCAACAACAACAACAGCAATCATCAATCACTATCAACGAGAAAAATCTGAAGCAAGTTGTCTCTTTCACCTACACCTATCTGACCAGACAGCATCGTCTCAACTACAGGTGAGGGTGGTGGCACAGATGAGAATGTCAAAGACAGGACTGGAAATACAGCCAGACACGCCCTCCTTCATTAATCTGAAATTGATCAGTGTGGAGATCTACTGCACTACACTCCACTGTACTCACTCACCATAAAGCATGAACAACATCTGGATTTTCAACACGAATGTGAGTCAAGTGAGTCAGTGCTTGTATGTGATGGTTGAGAGACTTGGTGGTGCATTAGGGAAAGCGTTTCCAACAAACTGTTGACATTCATGGTCAACAGCTGCCACCTATACTCACTGGATATTGAAGATGGGGATAGGGTGGCGAGAATAATGAGAATGAGGAAGAAGGAACTGTGGCTGGCTGGCTGGCCGACTGGCTGGCTGGTTGGCTGGCTGGCTGGTTGGCTGGCTGGCTGGCTGGCTGGCTGGTTGGTTGGCTGGCTGGTTGGCTGGCTGGCTGGCTGGCTGGCTGGCTGGCTGGCTGGCTGGCTGGCTGGCTGGCTGGCTGGCTGGCTGGCTGGCTGGCTGGCTGGCTGGCTGGCTGGCTGGCTGGCTGGCTGGCTGGCTGGCTGGCTGGCTGGCTGGCTGGCTGGCTGGCTGGATGTCAACAAACCAACTGACCAAGAATCCATTGCCTAACGAATATGAAGTAGAAGAGGGTGGAGATGGATTAGATTGAATTGGATGGGATTGGAGGTGGAGTGAGAAGACGGTTTGTGAACATCATATGTCAGGCCAGGTCATGCCGTCGAGTGGGAGCCGAATGTGAAATGACGAGTTGTGTGGTTGAGGGTGACATTGAGGCGATTGTGTGAGGACAGAGTGAAAGGTTGTGGGCATTGGTGGAGCCAGTTTGAGAATACTGGAGAGATGAGAGTGGAATGTTGACGTGTTACTGAAGCCCTATGTTCCACTGGTAATCTATGGGACATATAATATTAATCTCTTAATGAAAACACATTTGTCGATTTGGTTTGTATAAGATGAAGTTGTGACGGTAGAAACTTGTATTGTATCAAACTCGATAGACTCAGGTTATTAAATGTGTGCAGATATTACATTTTACTCCGAAAACATTATCACGTGTAACATGCAAACACCTTTCTCACGTAAGGAAATTTTCTTTTCAGTCAACTTCACATTTTGTTTACTTATCTACGTTGACCTGCTTACAATCCTTAACCAGCATTCCACTTTGAAAACGTACTTGCAACAGTTTTCGGTCAATTTTTATGTTGAACAGTTGCATCTTATAACAGTAAAACCTGATGAAAATTTATTGGAAAAAGAAAATTCTTCTTTCATTCTGTCTTCTTATCAGTGAAATGAGAATCTTCAAATGTTTTTTAGTGGGCTAGTTTGACTAGGAACATCTTATACAGAAGTTTTAAGAATTAAGAACTTTAAAGGAAACGACTACTTGATGGATATATTTTCAACATAGTATTCAGCATGTACTGAAATCAGTTTAAGAACTATTGAAAACTTGGAAACACTAGACGGCTATTTCGTCCCAACATGGGACTCTTCATTAGAACACACTGATTAGCCGCAACCACCAAGGATCGAAACCTGGGTCTTTTGAATCTCATGGCGAACGCGTTATTCATTCAGTAATATAGCGTTACTGTCCATTAAAGTCTTCAGTTAGCCTCCTTCTTCACTTCTAGCTGGTTAATCCTACAGGTCACGGCTTTTCATTAGAACTTCGGGATATGTATCTGAAAGTATATCACTAATGAGCAATATGCAGTAATTTAGCTTCAGGTTTACGCAGATTTTATTTATTCATTCATTAAAAACCGTTTTTAAAAGTTTTATTTTCTGTCTTTTTGATACTTCAGAGTGGGAAAAATTCATATAACCTTGACTATGATCAGTCGAAATCGATACATGATAGCTGGAACTCTCAAGGTGATAATTCAAGACATAAACTATCCAATTTCGATGAAAACCACATTAGTGTTGATCATGAAAATGTATCCAACTATCCATTATCTCATGATACATCTATAATTTATTTAGTAGAAAATGGGATTCGTAAAAGAGCCCGTGCTTATAATTCTAATTCACCACATGGTTATTCACCTTCCACTCCATCACCGCCTTTTTCAATTTCTGAAACGAAAGCATTCTCAGGTGAAATGAGCACATCTTCAAAGCCTATAACTACATTTCCTGTGCAATCAGATTCATCGCACCGGTTAGATAATTCCAGTATGATGAATAAAGATATTAAAACCTCATTAGGAAATAAAGTTGTATGCAAACCATCTTCTCTGAGAGTCAATCAACAGAAACGATCTCCTCAACGTTATACACAGTCCCCTTTAGTTGTTGCTAATGTTCTACTGGAAGATCCTCAAGATCAATTACCACAATTGCCGACATATTTTAAAGAATCACAACTTGATTTATGCCAGGTGAGTCAACTTCATGCTGAGTATTTATTGAGTGATATAGACGTTTCAACCTATTTCTTACAATGTAGAATATATGGAGTCAAACAATGCTTACAACTCTGTTAACACTGCGTTTGATAAATATGAGAAGTGAGATGGTGAAAAGCACTCAGGAATAATGTTATTCATTAGGTTATAATAAAGATAGATAGTGGCTAGTAGTGAAATCCAGGATGCGCATTTCGTCCTATTTGGGACTCGTCAGCCGGATGTACCTGCCTCCAGTGAGTGTTGTTCTCATCGGGACTCGGACCCGGCATCGATCGCTTCAAACACCAGAGCATTATCCACTAGACCACCTAGCCAAGCCGCGAACAATTATACTAAAACTATATTCGTCCCACGAGAAGTGGCTATCGTGGCTCGGTGGTCTACTGGATAACGCTCTGGCATTTGAAGCGATCGATCCCGGGTCCAAGTCCCAATGAGGACAATCGCTGGAGGTAGGTACGTCCGGTTGACGAGTCCCAAATAGAAAGAAATGCACATCCTGGATTCCACTGCTAGCCACTATCCATCTTTACTACAACTAGGACACAGGTATATCAAGGCATCTGCACGAGGTCCCAGATGCCAATAGAGACCGATCCATTCAGTCTAATCAGTGACAGTATAATACAAGCAATAAGACTATTAGATTATAAAGGCTACTGCATGTATTCGACAGCATTTGAGAATTAAGTGAGATCCTCCAGAGAAAACCCAGCTATCAACAGACTGAAGCATTCTAAACGGCATTAATACACATTCAGTGTTGGTTGACTTGTGACCGGATTAATTGGTGGGTTAAAGTAATGCTTAAGTCACAAACGTACTACTAATTCTACCAGGATCTTATAGAAATCATAGAAGCTAACTGTTGATATAGACAGTACTGTACTTCCAGAAATACATGTTCTTATCATTTTTCGATGAGTTACAAGTAATTAGAGAATCCATTTGTAGTCTTCGACACCTTATGTCAATAAAAATTCTGTTTCCAGAGAAACAGATCACATATTAGCCACATTCAAGATAATATTCTGCTGTACCTGTCAGGTGCTCTACATTGGCAGTGATTTCAAGCTCCTAACAGCGCTACTAAGCCTCAGTCTATGGTTACTCAAACAAGTTTCGCACTGCATTTAGTGCATCACAGAATCGTAGGAAGGCATTTGATTAAGCTAGTCAACCAATACATCACGAGTTGGAATCCAGCTCCAACTACTGAGGTTTGGGCAACCAGTTAGTATCTCATTAGCCATTACACAATAGGTGTGTGTTACTCATTGCCTACTGCACGATTGTGTGCAAAGTTGATGAATGCATTTTGGCTTCTTTTCGAATTCACCGCATGCTGTATAGCAGTCACTTACCAAGAAGTTCCTTCTTGAACTGACTGATTTTGTGGTGTTGAACGTATTCAATAGAAGTGCCTATGCGCATTCTTTAACAAGGTATATCGGCTAATTCGAGGGAATCGATGTCGTCTCGAAGATCGAGTCCTGTGTCACTTAGGGGTGCATTCAAAAACAGAACCTGGTTATACTCTTGTTACAATGTTAATTCATAGAATCCAGTTTTACGGAAGCTAAATTGAATTCGGAGCAGCTTAGTTGTAATCTTTTCAAAGTTTATCGCTAGGGAAAGTGCGTTTGGGTTCTTGAAGGGATATCACTTCTCTGTAAGTTGTAGATACATCTTGTTGACGAGTACCAACAAGCACGAAATAGAAGTGGAGGACTTTCAGCAAATCGCCTTCAGATATCTAACACTTATATTGATTTTTGTATAAAACAACCCCACAAGCAAGTTCAGCATATAATACAATTACTTTTGAGTGGCATACGGCAATATCAAACATCTACAGAGTACATTAGTTGATTACTTTCCAGTGACCATTGAATGTGCTTACTATGATCATAAAGCTGGTCATTCGCCACCCGATTAGCTTAATAGTAACATCTTTGACTGTAGCACTGTGTGACTGGCGCTTGCCAACAAAAACAAAACCTAGGTGGAGCAAAGTTTTTTACCGATTGCCTTCATCCAACTAATGTCTACAAAGTGTTAGTTACATGGAAGCAATTAGCAGGAAATCATGCTCTATCTAGGTTTCATGCTTCTCAGCACTCGTCAGCAAGGTAGATCTGCAACCTTGATAGACCTGATGTCGCCCTTGAGATTCGAGTCCATGTTACTTAGTACTACAGTCAGAGATGTTATCATCGAGCTATTCGAGCTGCGATTCACCTCCCGTAGGACAATACAAGGTACATCTGCAGAGCTGCTTGGTAGTCTTACGTCAAAACTATAACTGGGAAGCGGATCTTAGCATTGTACCTAGACAGATGGATTAAACAGTGTGACAACAAACAAATAGAGCGTTTCATTCACTTCTCACCTTAGAAGTCAGTACAATTTGATTTATAACAGTTTTAGAAAAACGAAGGGCAAACAAACAGTCAACAAAATGCACATACTTGAGATGCATACTAAATTTCAAAATTTAGCCACAACAAATGTAAGGCTCACTTTACACCACAAATAAAATATGATCTGAGTATTCTCTGTTGATCGGAAAGAAATGATTCTGTTGTTTTAGGTTGTCAGGAAAATTGAAAAAGAACTAAATATACTACTAGTGAACAAAACGGGCAGTTAGAAGCCGCTGATCTGCAGATTTCCTCTAAATGGTTAGATCAGTGTGGTCTAAACATCGGACAGCCGTTTCATTCATTTCAAGACCAGCCAACTCATCAACGGTGTACCTGGAAAAATTCAATTCATCAAGCCAAATTACATTAGATCATCTAAATCTAGCTGGCTGACTCTCATGAACCAATATGCCTAAAACAGGATGATCAATTTGCAAATGATATCCAACTTACACGGTCCACGTTGACATTTTTAACAACCGTGTAGTTTTTCAACCGCCCAACTCTGATACCCGTCAACAAGCTTTCTGCTAGAAACCATCCTGTACCTAAAACCACAATGTGTGAGTGATCGTTGAAACAAATATCATGAAGTATTGACATATACTAGTTGTGAGGAAATCGATTAGTTAGAAACCAATCAGGCTGATCTGATCTGGTATAGAACCAACACATTGAATCATCCATTTCAGTTATAACAAAGGTCTCATAATAACTATTGCTTTCAAAGCTGATACTATAGCACATATTCCAATGAAATGCTTAGTCAGATCTCTGAGACAAAGAGATATTCTTTTTCACTTTAATAGTTAAATGGTTCTTAGGTATCTTAAGGATCAAATAAGCATTTTTTTTATTGTTTTACACTCGAATTTTATTCAGACACAGAAATCAATTAGAGAGATTAAGCCAATCATTTGTCGGAAAAGTTATCAAAATCATTTAGCATATTCAAATTAATTTACTTCAAGTTGTTATTCATCGAAGACTGACATCAGTTGGAGGAACAAAGGAAACCTGGGAGCACTGGACAGCTGTTTCGTCCTAGTATGGGACTCCTCAGCAGTGCGCACCCACCACCCCACCAGCAGGGACCGAACCCGCGACCTTCAGGTTCCGCGGCCAGCGCGTTACCATTGAGCTAGCCACTGGTTCAGAATCCAATGCTCCATATTTCCAACTTCTGTTAGCTCACGATATATAGCGCAACCACCACCCAATGTCATCGCTGAGTATTTGTCCTCATGGCCATCAGGCTTTGACTCCACCGGTCACGACTTCTCATTGGAACTTCGGGAATATTTCTCGAAACTAGTCACCAATGAGCATCAGTTCAATTAAATTTTGAGGGAGTTGTGGAGATTTGGAATTATTTCAAGTTGTTATTCATCCTCCAACTGATGTCAGTCTACGATGAATAACAACTTGAAATATTTCTAAATCCTCACAACTCCCTCAAAATTCAAATTAATTTACCATATGGATGATGTACTCGCTTACTCCACATAGCAGAGGTGATTACAATCCACCTTTACAAGCCTAACCTTTGTATTTAGCAGAAGTTTGTTCAACCGGTTTCATTACCATAACCATCAACATGATATAACTTGTAGTATTACTTTATAGACTTCTTTGCCCTCTTGTTTCTATCACCATTTACTTGTTTTCTTATCATTACGTAATGATTTAATGTTTATGACTGAATACTCGTCAAAAATCACTCCATCAGTAGTTTGATAAATGAATGATCAACGTCAACTGCTTAATCATCTAAGAAGTAGTGTTATTCCCTTTACTAATATCTCATACTGAATCATCAGTACCGAGAGGTAACAAGTTTCAAACACTTATGTCAATGGTTATCGATTTTCAAGGGTTCTCATATAGCCTGTGAATTCCTCAACGATTCATACATCCATTCATTTTCGTAAATTTTTTTTTTTTGCAGAATATAAAACGTAGAAGTGTTCCAGATGTGACAAATCAAACTTCTACATTATCTCGAAGTGATCTACAAAAGTTGAGTGAAGAACACAAACAGAAATATGAAGAAATATTAGCAAGAAAGCGTCAAGGTGAAATTATCATACAACTTGTAGATTTCTTTGTAAGTTTTATCTACAAAACTCTTGCTTATTTTTTTTGACTCTGTTTTACATTTTAATCACAAAATTTATTTTATGGTTCGATAATGTTCACTTGAAAGTCAGTACTTGAAGCGGTGTTAAGTACAGAACTAATCACCTGTTGAAAATCCCAATGACATTTTGTAGCTCTACTAAAGAATAAGGGGGTTCAGCTTTGAAACTTTGTAGAAGGGGAAACTTTTGTAAAGGTATAGATAGCTGACTTTGGTTTGCAACTTTCAGACTGATGGTTCTGGCTTCATAATCTGTTGTGTCAACTTTATCATTACAGTAAATGGGTAGTATCACAAGAAATGGATCACAGAGCAGTGTTTATAAACAAACATTCTTAGTTATAGGATCCTATTGATATAATTAAGCAAAGTAATATACTTTGCCTAATCCATTGCGCTAATTTCAAATCAAATCCAGAGAACTAGAATAATCGTATAGGGTCGATTAAGCTGTGCGATCATAAACGATAAAGAATCTAGAGAAAAGCTTGGCTACAGCTTACAGACAGTTACACACAATCATATAATTCGATGTGATGAAACGACAGTATTCAGTAATTACTGTCGTGATGCTCCAGTCTTGTATAAAACATTCTTATTGATCTGAACATTTTAACGTGTCATTCCCACATTATTTTTACAGTATGACTAATACTCTATTTTCTGTCCCCATTCGAATGGAATTCGCTGATTGGTTAACTTCTACGCTTACTATGCGAATTTCTCCAATTGCCGACAAGGTCATTTCTCATGTGTATACTCATTCACGTGTTTTGGATTGATTCATTGTTATTATATTATATTCTCGGAGTAATAGACTCTTCCATGTGCCAGCTTCGGTCTTCTCTGTGTTCATCCCGGAGTTGCAATCTGTGACTCTTGCGTACCAGGTTGGCTGTCAGCTAAGCGTGAGTATTATATTCGTTTCGGAATATATACATATACCATTAGCGCTTCGAAAACATAACACTTATTTAGATAGAAGGAGGGAGAGAATCATAAGTGAATCTTTGTTTATTCAATCAACAGCAAACGTATGAAATAGGAATGATTCAGTAATTGTTCGCGATATATTCAGAAAATCATACTACACATATTCCAGAGAAGTACAGAGAGAGAGAGAGAGAGAGAGAGTTAGTTACTTAAGCCATGTCTGAAAGTTGTGGAGTAACGGTGATGTGACTGGGGGCAAAGGATTTTGCTGGAAATATGAATCAGTAAACATCACCATTTCACTGTGTGACAATTCATCTGATGAACAAAATTAAATGCCATTTGAGTGTGCAAAGAATATTCTTCATCTCCAGGTATTATACAGTTACATATCCTGACTGTATAGTTTCGCGTCAAATTGTTATGAGATTTCTTCAAACTCAGCTTGTTGATAATAGTATGTGGTTGGGGGATTCTCTTTAGAAACGTCGTGTCTATGTATAGAGAGAGAGAGCAATATCAGAATGAGTCATTACTATTACTGGAATTCACTTAAAAATCGTTGATTAGTGGAAGGATTACACTGGTCAATCAATACCATAAGGTGATAATTGAATAAAGCGATACGAGGATGTACTTGAAGATGGTATGAGATAAACAAAGAAGGATGATCTGAGGAATAATATTGGGGGTGGGGTGTTGTGGGGAAATGTGTTCACAGAATGTGTTTCATATGATAAGAATGAAAGGATATCTATAGTATGGAATAAGAAAATTAGATTGCAACACATAGGATGGTGAGTAATTTGTGCATGTGGAATCGGGATACGGTTACTTGTAGCCATGTGATACTTGCTTCATTTGTACACACAACTCACGTTGTTTCATCCTGACTGTCAATGCTTCTGTAGTCATACGGATTCAGATCGGGTTAGTTTTTGTCACATTGTAGGGGACCGAGTACATAATGGAAAACGACTTATTCCTAGCTACTGTATTGTTCATTTGATCTATGCGTGTTAGGTAATATGGAGCTTGTAATAGTCTTTATCATATGTTTAGCTTAACGACTTTGGGAGGTGTTTAGGAGCAGGGAGAATTAAATTCCGTGAGGAGTGGCTGATGTAACTGGCTCTACAGGACTAGTACGAATGAATCTTCCGAAGTTATCAGCATCAGTCTCCATTTCCTGCCAGTTATCAGCACTAAAATACGACTCATTATACCAACCGACACTTGGTTTCCGTTGGAGAAGATCGAAGTTATTTATGAAAACAAACAATGAAATAAAGTTGCCAGTTGATGTATAATTTTTATTCTATTGATTAACTGTCGAAATTACATAGGATAATTCAGCTCAAGGGTAAGAGGTATTCTACTTGTGTAACAAATTATAACTGTACCCTAATAAATTGAAAAGGCTACTTTGAGTAGTGGATAATTCCTCAGGATAAATGTTATTTGGTGAAATGATGAAGAGAGACTGATTGCTTCAAATATAGCATGCTGAAGTTTTCATTTTCTTCAACAGTTTTCAAAAATATAAGCTGCACAACTTAAATTTCATATTAATGATGGATAATGGCTAGCAGTAAAATCCAAACAGGTTGTTTCGTCCTACTTCAGACTCCTCAGCTGGATAGACCTGCACCCCTAACTCATCTATGTATTTTTCTTTTTTTTTCTAAAGTGTACGCTATATTCACTTGTTTTCGCAACAGAGATTTGTAGATTATGAATACTGTTAGGCAATATTTCATCTATTTTATAATCCATTAATTAGTTAAGAATAGTATACTTATCAAAAGTTTACTTTATTCTCATTTCTTGTTTATTTATATTTTAGGATTGGTGTAGAGTTAATCTCTCCTTATTAGCATTTATATTAGTGAATTGTATTCTGGTTTATTTCTTCTACATTATAATGTACCGTTGAAATATTGAACAATTGAATCCATTGAACAGCTGAAGCCATTGAAATGAAAAGTAATCAACACTATTTAGTTGAATTAATTAATTCCAATAAAATAGTGTAAGATTTTTTCAAGTAGACATTTTCTAAAGCTTTTCCGGTGTACAAATCATATTGAAAAATAATTGAACCTATGAATTTACCTTTCTGAAAACTATTCACTTGTATGACAAACAAGTACATGTGATATTGACTTTTACAAAAACTCTATACTCAGATATAATTGTTTCGTTGATCTGTAGAAAATGAGCTGACTGTTGGATTTTGCTCAAGTTGGCTTTATTTACATTCTGGTTCCAATTAAATGTGTATACATATTGTTTTGTTTTAATGAGCTGAATATTAATGAAAGCGGTTAATTCAATTAGTACATGTTGTTACTGGTGTATAAATGATTATTATTTCTTCAATGAAGCAAAAAAAAGAAAGCATTAAATCATATTGAAAAGAACAAAAGTAATGACTGTAATTGAAAACTTAAATTTCTCTTATTTATTGATGGATAGATAGATAGATGATATTAGGGAGATTAAACTTATTGAACATTTGAAAAATGTACATTTTCTTGATTATTTTCTGGATCATTGAAGAAAATACAAAACAACAACGTTAGAA